CCCAGGACCCTTGTGAATGGAAAAGCTTTATTAAGCATAATCATAAAGTAAAAAAAAAAAGACTGCCTGGCAGGCATGTACATTAACTTGCATGAGTTCCTGTTTAATTAAATTATAAATCAGGGATAACAGGAAGCGACTACTGTTTGCAAGTGTTTTGCCGATGTGAGCACTAGAACACGATGTCTCTTTCTAGGGCAGTTCATTTCTGTGCAGTGGCTCAAAGGCTCATTGTGTAATTAGAGGAACAGGTGATTTCCCACTTTTAGTTACTGTTTTGTATCATTGTTGAAATAGTTGATACAGTTATCTATAATGAACTGTCTTTAAATGATAAAATAGAGATCACAAGACTTGGAGAGGATTGTCACAAGCATCCTCTGTGTGTGTGTTCCAGATTTTTCATGAGGTTAACGACTTTCATCTTGTGATATTGTCATCAGTGTCTTAATAACAGGTTGTGATTGTCTTTAAAAATCCACACAGATCTGTTGCTTGACAGATTAATGCGTACGATGCATGAAACACTGGGATTCAGGACAAACGCCCATTACTGTCTGTTTATTGTGCCATGAGTAAGACTATTTATCAGTACGGCTGTAGCAGGTTTGAAATGTCAATTCAATAAACCTTATCTCTTGGCCAGGCTCGTGGCAGGTGCAGAAACCGGGGGTCAGTGTCACGGAAAGTGAATATCTACGCCACTGCCTTGGTCACGCCGCGCGCTGATAAACACAGCGATATTGAGCCCATGAAGAAATCGATGCCCGTTGCAAACATGGGGCCGATAAATACCTGATGAGCTCCAAAGCTTCCCCACGGGACTCTTAATGGTAATTCATACGATCTCTGGAAAAACTCTAATTCAGATGAAGGGCAGCTGGTAGCGAAGGCTGGAGAGACTACATCACACACCAAGGTTCCAGCAAAGAACAGGAGCTGTTGCACCTGCAGCATGGTTCACTCTGGCCATGGTGTTTCAGTGCAAGCCTCTCGGAGATGTAAACTTCTTAAAGCTTCTAGGCAGAAAAAGGGAGTAAGGGCCATGTTCTGAAAGCTTCTTTTCTTCCCTGGAAGAAGCACCTTTAGTTGATCCCTGTTAACCTGTTTAGCTTTACTCCATGCTAGATTTAACGAATGTTTTGGATTCAGAGTATCGGACTCCTTCAGATCAACTTTCCTTCTAAGTTGACCAACTGGAAGTCCTTTCTTTAAACTTACAGGGTGATGACCTGTTACCTGTTGGTTTACACAGGGAGTTCTTATTGTCCTGGTTTTCAGGTACTGGATGACTGCAGTGCTTAAAGGCTAATTTTTCTTTCGATTTTGAACTTGTGTTCGAACACCACGCAGCTCAACACCTCCATACTAGGCAAGTGTACCAGGACTAAAGAGCCATTATCCAAGCTCACGACCTGACCCATGTGTTTGAAAACTCTTCTTGTGAAACTCTTCTAAACTGCTCTGATCAAACTGAAACTTGGAAGATTTCAATTTCAAAAACAAAGCTTTTCAAAAGTGGCTCTTAAGATGGTACTAAAATTGCTCGCAACATGTTTGGCCCTTTAAACACATTACTCAAAAACTGTGCAGCCATTTCATTCCAGAATTTAGAGCTATTATTCTGGTAGAGGTTAAAGTAGATGAATATATGTCAAAATGGGGTTCCTGCATGAATTTAGATGGCTGACTTAATTGTTGTTTCTTATTTACTCCCCCCACACACATATTACAAATAATTTATCAAATATTTCTGAACACATCACGATGCAGTAGTCTCGAGAATGTGCTGTCTTTTTTTTACAAAGTAAATTAATATACTCAATGAATAAATCTACTAGGACAGAAAAGGACATTATTCATATTTCAATAACACAAATGAAAATTAAATGCAAAACTTCCATAAACCTTCATTACTAAAAATACATTTGCTTCCCACACAGCTAGGGCCATTTGTCAAGTGAATGTGTACAGATGGCTCTGGGGGTCTGCTCTAATGATCTAAAGAGCAATGGCTTAGGAATATCAACACTCTCGAAATTTCATATTTATCTCCCTGGAGTTTTTCCCAGGAAGGTATTGATTGTCCTTTAATTTAGCACTGCTGAATTCAGTGAATTTATGATGGATAGATGCTGGTGATTTAAATATGGGTCTTAATGAAATTCAGATACTTTGTTTCCAGTAGTTATATATTAGATCCTACCAGCAACCCGTCCACCCCCACCCCCCGGCTCATGTCTCGAGTTGGGTTCGCAATGTGGTCATGCTTTGCGGAGATCAGCCGGTGAAGCTTTTTGATTCAAATGGGAAATGAGAGTATGGTAAAAAAAGAGAATATAGCTGTGTTACATCGTGTCATAATTTTAAATGCAGCATCATGATATTTTTCTGACAAAGGATAGAAAATAAACAATCCTCTCTGGAGCACATGTTTGGTAGGACGGATAGTACTGCATCCTCACACATCCAGGCTCCTGGGTTTGACTATGGGGGTCTGTCTATAAGGAGTCTGCGTGGTTCACTCCGTATTACTGAGGATTTGCGGATGCTCTGATTTCCTCTCGCGTCCCACAAGTGTGGAATTGTCTCAGTACTGCCCAGCGCCCTTCGACTCGGAGACGACCCCAGATTGCCGTGACATTAGGATAATCGTACGTCTTATGACGGATGGATGATGAGGTGGGAACAGGCAAATGCTGTCAATACTTGTGGTTTCACTTCATCGAAATCCGAAATTAAGTTAGCATGTACTTGGAGTGTCTGGCTAGATTTCCCCCTGACCTTTACCAATCATGGCCTCCTAATAATCCCCATCCCTGAACTAGCTTCATCACCCTGCTCTCCTCCCCACTGAGAGCTGGTGTATGGGGAGCGCACTGGTGCACTTTGACTTCATTGCGTCATGCAGGTGGGTGTGGTACAGTACACCACAGTGCACTGTCTCTCCTTCTGGAGCATGAATAGGATCCCTCTTCAGCAGTAGACGCCTCTTTTTACACAACCTTCTGCAGCTCTGCCATTACATCTCCATCAGCTGTCAAGAGCTTGGGATCTTGCCATTTCCAGTCACTCCCCGCTGCCTCTTAAACATGTCGATGAAGGGGAGACAGGTTTGAGGGAGACGTACAGACGCAGAGTGGGCCTGTTTCAGAAGTGTGTGTGTGTGTGTTGGTGAAGAGGGTTTATAGGGAGGCGCCAGACAAATTTTCGCAGAAATACAAAACCAAGGTGAGGTGACATTGGAGGAGTGTGGAAAATGATAATTAATGCAAATGAATGGTAATTGATTTCAGAAAACATTGTAGATAATCCATTTGCATTTCCTTACTTCCTCCTGAAGGCAGAGCACAGCAGTAGGCCCCTGGCTTAAGATATTAAAGAGACAGCTACTGTACACATCTCCACTCAGCACTGCTGTCTCACTGCGGGTTGGAGGTATGGAGGTCGAAAACAATGCTGAAGCATTAATGGTGAGGATAGTGTCTTGCATTTTTCCACAACCTTTGATTTCAAAGGATTCCAAGGTGCTTTACAAGCAGGAGGGGTCTCCCTTCCCCCTGAGTTAAGCTCCTGAGTTTGCTTAGCTTGTTGGGGCCCCTGCCAGAGTGCAGAGGCTGCTGAGTCCTGCACCTCTTAGGGCTGGTTCAGAGCTGGCCAGGGCTTCTTCAGATGGCCATGACTCGGCGTGTGCATGTTGCCTTGTGGTATTACTGGCGGGGGCTGTGGGTGTCCGCCCTGGCTTGCTGTTAGAGCTGTTAGAGCACAACACAGAGGGCGCACAGACAGGAAGCACTATAGGGTTGTACCGACTCAATTAACAATTTGCAAGTGCAATTATTTCTTATCTACTTGGATCATTCATTGCACCTGCCTTGACATTTCTGACACCGGCCTTCAGCAGTGCTGAGCTGCTCCGTTTAATTTACTCCGTCTCCGTCATAAGGTTATTGACATACGGCGTTATTTGTAGGTGCATCGCTCTGTGCCAGAGTCTGACACAAACTCTTCTATCTGCTGAACCATTAGGAACCGATGCCAGAGGGGGAAAAATATTATCTGTTTTATGAACTTCCCAGTCAGCGGTACAATCAATCGTCTTGGTCTCCTTGGCTAATCAGCTGCCTTAAGATGCTCTGAGCAAACCTGCATTATTTAACTATAAGCTCAACAGATGAGGCCAGAGGGCTACAGGAACTTTCTGGGTCAAGAGCCAAATATCGAAGATAGCAGGGGGATAGTGAGAATCCACCAGGCTTTGTGGGTCATCCTTAAATCCTCAAAACTGAAAGTCTTGGAACAATTTGGTTTTGGTCACCTAGGCAGGTGAATTGTTCACTTACTGTAAGTACTTTAGATATCATTAGAAATGGAACATTACAAGTGTGAAACCTGTACAAAATCCATGCTTTCCAGGTTTTTTTCTTGTGATTAATAAATCATATAATCATAATAATGATTAAGCCACTGAACTGAACCCATTTAACTGACAAATTTAGCCCTTTTAATTTGCCGGGTGAAAAGATCTTTCAGGGTCGTTCAGCAGTACAGAGTCATGGATGATTAGAAGCGCAAAAGAAAGAAAAAACTTTTGGTGTGGTCCCTGTACAGTACTTCAGTCTAAAGCCTGATGCTTTTTTTTTATTTTATTCTCTAATGAAGGTTAAAAAAGACCTTGAAAAAAGACCTGCATCTGGGAATTTGAAAAGACACAAAAGCAATTTCAGGCCAGCGCTTCATAAAGGAAAAGAGCATCAAGACAAGAGACCCAGTGCAATGCAGCTCGCTCAGACTTGCACTGATAACAGCTTGAAATTGGGTCAGTCACTAACGACAATGGAGAAGGAGCTGCACACAGATTCCTTTAGAAAATGCAAGGAGCCGCGCCCACCACGCCGTTCTTCTGCTAATGCACTATTAATAGTGATGTTTTTAAGGAAATGATGAATTCCTCGATAGCAGCGTGAAGTGACATGACCTAAATATTTTTCCTTTTCCAGTGCTGGGGGGTCCGGAGTCCCGCGGGGTCCTGAGGAAGATTAGCGACATGCTGGAGGTGGTGATGAAGCGAGTAGACGCTCTGTCGAAGATGGGCAACATCAGCGACTCCAGGAGACTGGATGAGCTGAGCTCTGCTATTAACAGGTAGAATCAGGTGTCATCCCCAGCCACCTTTCTGTGCCTTGAGTCATCCTTTCAATGGGCACCTTCAATGGTTTCAATGGTTTCCCTTGCTTTTGGCATGTTTGTGAGGACCTGATGGATATTGCACTTCTGATTCATATTCCTTGAATATTTGCCATTTGCTGTTTTTGTTGTACGCAGCATTGTTTTTGTACCTTCTCTATTCTTTGTAGACACCTCCTCTTTGCTGGAATGCGCAAATCCAGAGACAGGTCTGCATGTAAACACACTGCCAATTTGCCAGTCAAAAACAGCGATTGATTCCCCCCTTAATTAGAACTGAAGCAGACAAAACCCAGAAATGCGCCGATTTGTCTCACTTCAGTTTGCTTCTCTCTTCCCCTGTAGTGTCTTGATGGCCCCTTTTTAAAATCCAATCAGTGCAATATTTTAATGTCTTGCCCTCTTCCTCTCGCACTGGCCTGCCTGTCTACTGGGAGAGATGTATCCTGACCCAGAGTGACAGCAGTGGGCCGACTAAGAAAAACACACAAAAAAAGAGATGTGTGAGATAGGCAGGTGGGGGCAGTGGTGGGATACATAATTAACTGGTACTGCTTTTTGCTTTTTTGTATCAAACACATATGCTAGACTGTCACAGTGTCTGAAGGCTTCTCCATGATTGGTGTTTACGGATGCAGTTCCTGTCAGCTGTGTTCTTGCCTTCAGATCTCAGGATCTACACCAATGTCTTCCTATGTCTGAGCTGACAGTCATACTGTAAATGTAAGCAAATTTCCAGTACTATATAGGTCTGCAATAATGTCTGACTATGCTCCGTTGAGAAATACCTTATCTTGATGTTTCTCAAAATCAGGATGACCAATTGTGTATCCCGAATGACCGCTAAAACCAGTGCACCAGATATTTGCAGTTAACTCTCAAATCAGGGCAGGTGACACCCCCATCTGTACTGAGAATGTATTCTTTATGCCTACTGTACATGCCGAGACCCATTTCAGCCAGAAAGCCCATTCACGAACTACACAATATAAGAAGTTGATTCAGTTGAGAGCACTTTAAGAGACATCTTGATGCAGCTGATGTTTTCAAAATTACAGTCTGCTGGATTTCCTTTGCCTCAGTGTTCTCTGGTGTGTGACAGTGTGATGTTTTCTTCTTTTACTGCTTTCTTGATGCCATTTCGTGGTTTACCTGGAAACCTGAGCAGGAGCATAAACAAGCAACAATGCAAACTAAAGTACTGCAACTTGGCTGTCTGGGTTTACCGAACATGGGCCTGCAGTTGTGACTCTGCTCCGGGCTTTTAATTTGTCTCACTGCTGGAGGGATTTCACCTGGCTGAACTGTAAAACCAAGGCAACACCTTGGATTAGGAGCCACAGATAGGATTTGTAAATGCTTTATAAATGGAATATACCGTTTTTAAAGTATCAACAGAGTGATATACAGTAAATGTGATAATACCCGTCCTCTACTGTACATTAACAGGACGTTAGTAACCACACCCAAACCTGACCGTAGCCTATACTTCTAAGCCTAGGATGTACGGTACAGTACATAATATTTTTTCAAACTGTTAATAACATAAATAACAGGTTTTTAAAGTAAAGTAGTACCAAATTAAAACAAGGATGCGAGCACATACAGTACGAGGAAATTCAGAGGAAGGCAGTCTGGAAGAGGAAAGGTTCAGTTTTACACAAGGAAGTGTGGCGTTTGGAGCAGAGTACCGAGCTGAGTTACACAGGAATCCCTCAAGAAACACGCGCATGAGGCTCTTGGATTCTCACGACAGAAGGGCTGCTTCTCTTCAGAGTTTTTCTCTGGTGCACACGTTATTCCTGATCTGCTGTCCTGAGTGTGTCTGTGTCTGCGAGGAAATGCCCCCTCCGAAGTTTGCTCTTCCGGAGGGGTGCGGTTTATTGCTTCTGCAAGGAGGCAGCCCTCCCCGTCGCCAACTGCGGGGCCGAGCCGAGGCCTACCCGCTGTGCGCACTGTGCTCGCGCCGCAGTCTCCATGGTGACAAAGACCCTTCAAACTCGGATGTCTGCTTCCCAGCTCCCCCCACTGCCAGTGGCCTCCTGGTACATTTAATTCTGTCTCTCTCTCACCACGGACATCGTATCATTTTGTTTACTTCAGTCCTTGGGCGGTTCTGCCCTGTTTCATCACAGAGTCAGTCTTACCTTCTCTGATGTACTGTATGGGGTCAAGGGTTGTTTTTTTTTACACCTGACAGCACTTAGAAGTCATGTGAACACATAACACTGAAATAAGCAGATTAAGGGGTGCCTTTGTGTATTCTGCAGACCTCACTTTCTTAACAAAGGGCTTGTTCATTCCCCACAGACATTAAAAAGCTGTTTCCAGTTGTAAAATAATGTAGTTGTAAGTATTAATATGTGGGAAAACAGAGCATTTGTTGCTAATTTAACATTCATCCAATAGTGTTCACATCTAAATGCGAGATTTTCTTTAACTGAAGTCTATATATTCTTAATATGAGGGTATCATAATCAAATGGAGAGAAAACAAGCAGTGACAGACATAAGAAAAGCTTCTCTCTTTTTTTGCTGTAGCACTGTAATTCTGGTGCTCTACGCTGACTTATACAGGCTGCAAGACAGGTGTTGACTTTTTAAACATCTGAGTGCGGACCTGATGCTTCAGCCAAAGTGACCAGAAAACTGCCATCTGTGTGGAGAAGCACCACACAGGCGACGCAGCTTCCTCTGAGTGCTGAGTGTTCCCATCCATCTAGGGCTTACGACAAGTGCGTGTTCGTGTTGGATGATCCACGTGTCTTCCTGCGATCCTAAGGCCTTCCTTTGCCTTTGAGTCTTGGTTTTCCCCGCTCCTGAACCAGAGGGTCCAGAGGGAAGGAGGAAAGAGGGGTGTGAGCTCTGCTGCAAACAGCTGTGCTGATTGGCTCTGACACTGTGCGGTCGACAGTGCCGTAGCAAACAAACCCTCTCTGCCAGTGACTCTCATTGCCTCCGACACATGTGCTTGCAAGAAGCAATTGACTGTGATGTCTGAAGTCTGTGTCCGTGATTTGCCCGTAGGCCGTCCTGTTTTAGAAAAGGGTGAGATTGGAGAGCTCTTCAGATTTAGAGAACCTCCTCACTGCCTGCAGAAACGGCACGGGAGAGGTACTGAAGGTGTGCAGCTTAACAAAACAGGATATTCCAGCCTCAGACTCCTGGGCTTTGGAATTTGCCATATTATGCCATATCTAGTGCATGTACTGTATGTAAGTCATTACTTCAGGATGCCTTTAACCATATTAGCTCCTCAGGGCTGAATAGAGTGCATTAAGAAGCCTAATTCACAAACGCATTTGACAGACCTCCACATATATTTTAGAGTGCGTTTCCACGATGCCGTGGAATAGAGCCTAATGAATCTATGTAGCCCTGCTGCATGTGCTCCAGTTCACAGAGTACGTCTGTGGAGTCATGACGATGTTACCCATGTAAGGAGTGCAGCACTGCTCTGCCCTGGACGGGATGTGACCAACGCAGCGCAGCGCCACTCCCTGGCTGGTCTCTGCTCTGCAAACCTATCTGGGTTGCATGGGCGTGGCGACACTCCTATAGTATGCTCGGTGCACGGAGACTCATCGCCCTCACACAGACCTGTCCCGACCTGTTTCCTATCTGAAGGAATCTCATTTAGCCATGGCTGAGGCTTTGATCTCTCCAAGTTTAAATACTGCGTAAGACAGCTCAGAGTTTTCCACTGCACATCTTAAAGGCCATTCTTTCTTTACACGGTTGTCTTTGGGTTAGCCCGCTGTTGTTCCACAGTAGCCGGCACATTATCACATGCCAAGACGCCAATATTCCTCCCTTAGTTCCTAATCCTATAAGAACGCTGATATCAGAGGTGTAGTAGAAGGTCGGGAATGGTCGGGAATTGTTGGGAACGCATACTCATGTGAGTGGAGTGACTGCAGGACACTCCTGTGAGCACACATGCTGACAGCTGGCATTTGAGAGAGTCGCTGCACTGGCTTAAAGGGGAAGATCTTTAAATCCCTTTTTAAGCCCTGTGCTGTGCTGTTTTGTAGGGAGGATGTGCCTGAAGGAACCTGTCATAAATGCCCAAGCTTTGCTGTAAGCCAGAGTGCTTTCCATCAGGGAGCACACTGAAATGTATCTAAGGAGACATGAACGTCAGAAGATCAATGGTTAAAAGGTTTGTCTTTTATCAGAACACAGCGAAATGATCTCCGTTGCTCAGTCTGGTTGCTCTTGGGTTTGCTGGCAGAACACAAAAGCACCTCATAATCTGGTCCCTGGCTCTTTAGCAAGGCCCCTTGTAAAATGTTTGGGCAGTCAGGGGATGAAAATTTGTAAGGAATCTGAAAATCATTTTATTTACAAGAGTGCAAGGCCCTAAAATTCTGGCGTTATTGTCTTGTAAAAACAAAAGCCAGTTCTGTCTTGCAAGCAGACTCCTGTAGGAAACCCCAGGGGAACTTGCAGAAACTAGGAAATCAGATATCAGCACCTCATACACCTACTGGGGCTGAAGTGAGAGAAGATTAGACAAATTGTCTTAACGAGAAACTTCTATTAGTTCTTGCTTTTTTCTTTTCAGTCCTTTGTTATTTTAATAAGCACATTAAAGAATCCTCACCTTCCAAGCATGCTTACCAATACATCTGTGCATTTTGTGCTAATAATTTACCAAAACAATTCCACATCCTGTATAATGATACTTCCTTCATATACTGTATATGGTGCTTTTCATCTCAAGGGAATTCACATACAGCAGGTACTACTATACTACTCCATCCACCAGTGAAGTGCAGCCCCCACCTGGGAGACACACAGCTGCCATTGTGCTTCAGGATGTGAATCAAAAGGGAGCATTAGGAGCATTAGGAAGGCCAGAGTGTAAAAGTAGCAAGTGAAATTAACCCAGGACACAGGGTTTAACCTTACTCATTCAATGCAGTACTATGGCATCTTTAACGACCAAAAAGTCAGGACCTCAGTTTAATATCTCTGGACTGGGTAATTGGGTCGCTAATTCTGGTCCAGAGGAAAGATTGCTGCTCACTGATCTTTCAGTATCATCTTCTGTGGCAACCTGGTTTTCCTTCGATGTCTCCAATCCCAGTACTGAGCAAACCCTGCCTTGTTTAGCTTCTGAGAGCTGGGAAGATCAGGCTACAAGTAAGCAATGCTAAGGAAGCCAAGCCATAACATGTGTTACCGAAATGATGCCCAGTGTTTCCTCATGCAGCATAAACTAGCATGCACTACTGGAGACCACAGCCTGCCCCCACTGCTGGGTCAGGCTCAATAGACCACGTATCGGGAAATGTTGGGTGCATTGCATTAGTACAGACCTCATTGGCTCTGCTTTCATTCTCTGGGCCATTGATTCAGGCTTACAGTTGCTGTGTGCAAGTGTTCTTGGGATGGATGCTCCTTGAACAGCTTGGCAGAGTGGCACAGAGTCCTGTGGACTGGGCCCAATTCACCTGCTAAACCAAATGGCCACAGCACAGGTATTTGTACAGGCTGACAGCAGAAGAATGGCTAAGAAACTGGTATGTCAGGAAGTAAATCTCATTCAAGATCCTGGCACATTCTTCTCCTGATCTTTTCCATTCAGTCTCGAAATACCTGGATGGTTGTATCAGTTCTAATGTGACTTCTGAGATTCCTTCCTTGTTGTTGTTGAATGCACCATTGCAGTGCATATCCAGCTTATGTTGGAATGGACTTGCAGATCCCACAGGTGTCTGTCTGTTTTGGGGGAAAGTGGCTCTGAAAGTGTTCACCACTTAGCTTCAGTGAGGGTCCACTCCAATGGGTGAGAGGGGAACAGATGTTGTCACCTATAACCAGCCAGTAAGAGATGAACATGCAGGTTTTTCAATGCATACCGCTTTTGATTACACCTACTGTGAAGAGCTGTGTGCCTCTCATAAGGAGTGCCTTCACTGATAAATTGTGAAAATGTGCATTTGTTCATCGTGGCGTGCTTCATATTGTTACAAAATTAAACTTAATAAAGACTGTTTGCATTACAAGCATACAGAATGGCCTGTGCTACAGGGGACTCAATCAAGCTGATTTTCAGCATCACTTTTGCATGTTTGTTTTGAGAGTTTTGAACATCGCCATATGGCCTGTTTTCAGGATCTTTCTTGCTTCCCCTTGTCATACACCTTTCAGCACAACTCTCTCACAGTTAACAAAAACAAAACCTATCTGCTAACAACCTTTTTTTTCCTTTCTGTGCACCTCCTAGGGACTTGCTATAATGGGCTGAATAATGTTTTCATCCCAAAGAGTACATTGTCTCCATGTTATATAGCTTTCCTATTTCACGCTCCAACCAAGTGCCACTTAATTATCATTTCCTGTGCTTGTTAAAACTATTTTACAAATGGGAGAAGTTACACCGGAAAGCTTCTTTTTTTAAAAGAAATGCTTTTGATCACAACACAGTAATATTCACTCAAGGAATAATCTTGTTTTCTTGCTTTTCTGGGGAGTGTGGATTTACAGCATGTTAACGTAATAGAAAAACATGGTAGTTTAGGATGACAATGTATTATCAGTGTAAACTTCGTATATGCCATCTCTTACATAAAGAACTACTGATAACCAGTTCCAGAAACATATTTCTAAGATGTCAGTATAAATACTATATATCAAAGCAGGCTTAAAATGAGAAGGTTTTTATGCACTGAAAAGTTTGCTTTCTTATTTCATGCTCATGAAACCACTAGAATGATGAAATACTACCGTACATGCGAATTGCTTTGATCCTGGCGCAGAATAAAAGTGTACTCATGTACATCTGATGGCACCGACATATGGCCAGAGGATGCAACAGCTGTCCCGGCCGCACAGCTACTTCTGATTGTGTCCTTGGGGCATTGTGCTGGGGGACATGCAGCAGTTACTGTACAGGGTGGCAGGGCTGTGGTCTGCTAGTGATGTATTGAACAGTAAAGGTCAGTGTCTCGGAACGGGATCCTGCCCTTGTTCTCAGCTATCTCCCACAGTTCCTCAGTTCTTGACATCATGCTTTGCACTGCATCTCTGTGCTTCCCCATCATTTCACCATGACGTGCTGTTGCTATGTCACGGCAAATGTTTCCAAGGGAGGGTTTCCAGTACTCAGGACCCTTGTTCTGCGTTTGCCAGGTTCCAGCCTGCTGGGCTGGTCGAGCGCATCCAGGCCATCGCCCAGAACGTGTCGAACATGGCCGAAAAGGTGGAACAGATCCTGCAGCACAGCCTGACCGCTGGGAGAGGTACAGTCACCTAGCTTGCTCTCAAGCGCGGTTTCGGAGAGGAACAGGATCTGGGGTGTGGAGCAAAGAAGGGTGCATGTGTAAGACTTCTCAGAGCTATGAAGTCGTACCATGCAACATTCAAGCCATCCTTGGCTGCCTTTCAGGATAGAGGGGTCATCGGCTGTTCCTGTTTAGGACGTGTTTCTGGTATGGGGAATCACAAGTCTCACTACACACGCAGGAGAAAACCTTTAGGAGGGTCTAAGAATTGTGCAACAGTTTCCCCAAATTGGAAAATTCTGTTAGCAGGTTCGTGGGAAGATGTCTGGCTCTGGCTGACAGGCAGGGAAGGCACATCCTAGTGCGTGTGTGGACACTCCCCTGAATATTTGAATATCTCAGGGCTCTGTAGAAAGCTTCAGATACATTGCTTTGGAACTTTAAATTAATAATTACAGTAGCTCATTGACAGGTTGCACGGCAGATTGTGGGCAGCAAAACCCCTGAGATAATGGTCTACCAGTCTACAAATAAAACAACTGCAGGACCTTAATTAGGAAAATTGAAGCTGCTGTAAAAGACCTTTAATCTAGCCAGAGTGACATAATTTATCTATTGTTCTGTACTTTAAATGGGTGCGTTGGATAACCTTGCATTTCTGGAAAGGCAGTTAGCTTATCCAATGGAGCAATTAATGTGATGATTTATGCCCTAGTGAACAGGGATGTATAACTCCACAGATATCGAACGTATCCCAGATCGAAGCAGAAAATCCGTCACTTTGGAGTTTGCAAGCGCAGCATCCCCTCTGTTTTAACGAGGATCCAATCGCAGAACAATAATGAGCCTCATGCCAGGTGGAAGTCCAGGCATCTCAGTGCTGCTGTGAGTGCTGAACTGGGATCTCTCTGGCTCCAGGGCTGTTTCGGTGCAAACCTTTTTTAATCAGGCTGACTCCGCTTGTACCTTCAAGCTACTTTGCTGTTTCTAAAATCAGACCGTATGTAATCAAGCACATATACAGTACTAAATACCATTAACTGCTCCACGTAACTGAAACCACAGCATGTGTATTTCAACTGTGAATAATACTCTCATCATAAATTACCTTGCTGAGTGCTTAGAATGTGCTTAGATGACCCATTCTGACAGCACGTTCTGTCTGCCTTCTAGTTAGAGATGGAATAACTGGCCAGTGTGAGATTCCGAAAGATCCCCGCTTCCCAGACTGCCCCAGTAAAGTGGAGGTGAGTGATAAGAATTCATTGCCTAACTATAATGGAATGTGATGTGAACTTTCTTCCTCAATAAATGCTTAAAGGGTTTTGCTTGGACTGGTGGAGGATGGGAGAATCTCAGATAGCCCTGTTCTCCTTTCTTAATTTCTAAATCCTCAATCCGTTCTGGAATTACTGTTGTTAAATCTTCCCCTTGCGGGGCATTAAAACTGCAGTTTGCTAATTTCTCTTTTAACGCAACTCATATACTTCTGTTGAATCTGTGGCTGCTGCACATGCAGCTGTCTGCTACCACTTACTGCAGATTAGATTTCACATACTGTAGCCGTCGGATGACTTTCATAAAACACAGATTAGCTCTCTCCCAGAACAGATAACAGGAGCATCTGAAGGCCACTGCTAACATACAGACAAACAGGGTCTAGGCGAAACAGGCCAACGTTTATTTCTTTCTCAGTTTCGGCCAGGTCACTCTCACTGCCGTGCCTCAACATGAGTCAGACGGACATGTATAGATGCACACCAGCACTACATACAATCTGGTTCGGCTAGCTCTTCTGCCTCTCCCAACTGTGCGGTGTCTGGTTCTCACTAGAGTGCATAGTAAACTTGAGACCTGATTCCAGCTTCTCTGTCCTGAAGCTAGCCTGTGACTGACTGTCTTGCTCTCCCCACAGGGAAGTATGTAGCCTGCTTTTATAGGACCGCCCACAGCTGTGTCTCGTTAGATCACAGACTTCCTTCAGCTGTGTTTGCATAGCAATGCCTGCTTCTCTAATGAGAAGCTCCGTCACTCAGCACTCCCACACCTCTCAGTATTTAAGAACCAATACTTATTTGGATAATTCTCGCCATTTCTCAGTGGTCGTGCTGCTCTCGTGTTTCTTCCTCTTCGGCTTCGCTTAGTGCCACGAATTGTGCCCTCTTTCAGTGGATGCGTGCCCGTTGGACCTCTGACCCCTGCTACGCCTTCTATGGGGTGGATGGCTCGGACTGCTCATTCCTCATCTACCTCAGCGAGGTGGAGTGGTTCTGCCCCCGTCTGGCCTGGAGGAACCACACCAGCCCACCGACTTACAAACCCCAGGACAAGAGACAGGTGAGCCAGGGCCCCAGTCCGCCTCCCTTCTGCTAACACTTTCCTGTCCTGTCAGCCTGTATTCACTTACAGCACTGAGTACTGTATATTGAGGTGGGGTAAAGAAAGACAACCAATGCCTTTTCAGAATGTTGCTGGACCTTTCCTTTCTGATCTCAATTTGAGATCCCATGACAAGGATTTTCAGAGATATTACCAGATATTATGGTCCCTGTCTTTTGGGGACTACATCTGTCCTCGTCCATCAACACCGTAAATGAGCACAGACGTGATCAGACATGTCCATCATCTCCCACTTCCTCTTCCTGGCAGGCGGCCTTCCGCACGGACATCGCAGCCCTGTTGGAGCAGGTGGGCACTGGAAAAGAGTCCCTGAGCTTCATGAAAAGGAGAATCCGCAGGCTGGCATCGCAGTGGGGCACGGCCGCCCACAGACTGGATCACAAGCTCCGAAACCCATGGAGACAGCAGAGGAAGGTGAGGGTGATTAGCTCTTTACGGTCTGATTAGCAACTGATCAGCCCTTTACAGCCTGAGGTGTTCTTCTTGTGCAAAAAAGTATGAAGTTCTAGTATACTGCAGGAATCCTTCCTTTCATCAAGAAATAGCTCAAAGTTTTCATTTTTGTACAACCATATTTGCAGGAACTTAAAAGTCCCATCAGGCGTCTCTACTGAATTTTCCTATGTTGAATCTTCCAAGGTTATTAGGTTGTCAAATACAGTAATTGTTTTACTCAAGGTGTGGATTTATTGTTTTTATTAGATACATGTTAAGTTTCATACTGTACATTTTTCACAGATGACGAGTGAAATACATTCAGAGAATAATGATTCAGATGCAAACAATGACTCAGGAGTGAAACTCAAAATACTGTAGCAGTTCTTTTTTCATTCAAACAAACAAAAAGTTTGTAGAGAGTGTCCCTTGAATGTGGCCAAAACCAATTTTGGACAGTTTACTCCTATGGACATTTTAGTGAGTGTATCAGTACCTAGCTTTAGACCTGAATAACACCAGTTGGAATATGACCCAGATCTACCCTTGGTGGTGTTTAACCAAAGTATTGCCTGTGTACAGTACATGCTCAGACCCCTGAAAGCAATGCTTATCATGATTTATACTGTAAGTGTTCTTCAGAAGAATTTCGATAGTACCCCACTTAAAAAAAAACTTTGTTGCCAAAGTGCTTGACATTGAGTTAAGAAGGAAATTGCCTCATTCTAAGTAATGATATGGAAAGAAAATTGCCATTCAAGTTTTCCATTATGCAGGAGATATACTGTAACTTTTAAGTAATTTAAAGACTTGAGGGAGAAGATGAGGAGTGAGGTTGATTAGACTGTTCATGCCATGTTAACACTCTTATTGAGCGCCTCTCCCGGGTCCCTGAATTTTAATATCTGGATACCACTCATTAAAAATATTTCTCACAATTTCCTATTCACTTGGGAAATTTAGACTACTGCTTTGGTGCGCCATTGTAGTCAAAACCTTTCTTGAATCGTAAGTGTGCTCCCCAGCACTCACGTGAGTGTGAAATTTCTGAAACAGGTCAATTTGGTTGCGAACAGATGTGAGTGTGGTGGTCATGCAATTGTTATGCCAGTTGCTTGTTTTTTCTTTCTGCGCATCTGTTCAATTCTGTGTGTCATGTTTAATTTAAAAAAAACCCAGAGAGCGACAGGGCCTGACTCACATCGGTCTTGACACTTCATGTGTTGAACGATGGGCCAGGGAGATCAGCCTGAGGCTTTGCAACATTTGTGGGCATTTCTGTGCCACCTGGCTGTAACATCTGAATTACTGTAACACAAGATGGGCTCCCCAGTAACAGCTTGTGCAAAGGCATGTGCAAGAACCATATCTTTGTTTTAATAAATTGTAAGAACCGGTTCATTCCCACTCTATTAAATGCTAGACATGAAGAAGATGAGAGATTTATGGGTAGTTAGTAGACTCTTATGACACTGGCAGTTACAAGATGCTAGCTTGAAACCCATTTTTTTTGTACGATTCTGCTTTGTTGCCCATCAATGCAAGTGTTTCTTACAGTGAATTTTCACATGGTTTTGAACAAATGATAAAACAGCACTGTGTTGTTTGGAAGTGAGCCAAGCATCTGTATCTTCAATTACAATTTATTAATTCTAGTCTAGTCATCCGTCTGCCTTTTTTTTTGCAAAAAAGGGAACCGTGTGTAGTAGATTTTAATCTCTCAGTTTCTCATTATGAGCAACAGCAGCCAGTAGTAGGCTGTGTGTTTGGCTCCTCAGAGCTATCCTTCCTCATTAAAGACACAGCGAGCAGCCAGACAGGGACCTCTGCCCTCACCAGTGTCTGTGACACTGATCTGTCACCACATCCAAGGATGTCAAGCTGTCCTTACTGTTGACAGTTCATTAGCTTTGTCATTAAGCACCAAAACATGCTGAATTATGAATATAAACGGGCAAGTCAGCTACAGAGCTCACACCGTGCCCTTTCTGCGTTGACTCATAGGCTGTGGCCAATCCAGTGGAGCTAATCTTAATGCCTGGGAGTCATGTTTCAGGTGCTGTAGCGCTAGTGAACTAACCTATAGCAGACCTCAATTAATAAAGCACCTCCTTCTACAGTAAGTGTCTTTAGTCCTTAGCATGTCTGGGAGGCACGTTTCTACACAGCGGGTTGTGGGAGAATGGAACAAGCTGCCCAGCTGGGTCGCTGAAACTGATACTCCAGCTTCATTGCAGAAACGGCTGGATGAGATAATTGAGTGAATGAAATAGTACCAATTTGGTTAGATGGGCCTCTTCTGGTTTGTTACTGTTCATGTGTACAATAAAACTGTTCTTCCTGAGTGCACTGTGACTTGCTTAAAGCCCCTTTCAAAACAAAAGCTCCTTCAGCTACCAATTAGATAAACCCCTTCCTAGTTTTTTTTCGTAGTTGCCTAGTAATATACTCATGAATTGGCAGGCAAATAATATCAAAATGTTCTCAACAAAATGAGAAAGGGCCTTAAAGCCATTTGGTTTCCAACATCCACAGGCAACTAGAAACGCCTCATTGCTGCAGTGTTATTTTGTTAGTCTGTTGAAATGCAGTGCTATTTCTGATTCTTAGTTTTTGGCCCCCTACCCAGGAGGAACATAGTGAAGTAGCGCATACTGTACCTCAGCACAGTACATGGCCCTGCACAGGACGCTGGGCTGCAGTGCTATCATGACTGGACAGGGCTCCCAGAGATGTGGGATTCAGTCCCGGGACACATGGAGAATATGGTGGGAGGGAGCTACTCGTTTGTGTCTGCAGTCGAAAACAAAGAAATAAAATCCTGTTGCTGCTTTTCACGCCAAGATACTGTTGTTGCGTGACGCGAATTCTTGTTTCTCTAATGAGAAGGTTTAAAGCCTCTGACTTTTCTTCTGAGTTCTTCAGCATTGCATGTGCGGGTGTTCATTTCTTGGCAAACAAATGGCATTTGGACGTTCTTTTTTTTTTCGGAGTCACATTTTCACATCCGGTATTTTGGAAAACCACAGTATCTCCACACTTTCCCGTTTGTCATTTTCAACTGTAATATAGTAATAAGTCATATGTAAAGTATGCAGTACTGTTACTGTTTTCTCAGTTCAGTGTGTGAACTAAGCAGTTTCTTGTGGCTTGCAGTATGATGCAGCATAGCTTTCTGTGTTTTATTGTGCTTTTACCATAATTTCCCTGTGCTTTACAAACATAAGGACATTTCCATGTGGGAAGAGGCCACTTCATTTTTTCCAGGCAATTGATGTGAGGATCATATCCAGCCGTTCTTGAAAGGGGCTGGGGTATCAGCTTCCACAACTTAAGGACCACAGGGAGTCAGGACCTTGGTTTTATGTCTCACCTGAAGGATGGCACCTTTTTTTTTCAGTATAGTGTCCCCATCACTACACTGGGGCATTAGGACCCACATAAGCTGCAGAATGAGCGCCCCCTACTGACCCCACTAACACCTCTTCCAGCAGCAACCTTAGCTTTCCCAGGAGTCTCCCATCCAGGTACTGACCAGGCTCACACCTGCTGAGCTTAAGTAGGTTGCCATGTGTGACTTGCAGGGCGATATACTGTAGCTGCTGCTAAAATTAAATCAATCTATAATCTAATCTAAATCTACAGTAAATGTTCTGCTTGTTAATTGGGGAAAAAGAGCTGCTGTGTCCAAAGAACCGTCTGAGCTCAGGATCCCCAGAGCTCCTGTTCTTCCTAACAATCCAGGCTGACCACTGTCCCCAGTCTCCTGCTACAGTGCAGACATTGAAAATTAAATGTGGTGAGATCAGGGTCCGATAAAAATAGCACTTTGCACTTGTATTTCCACAGTGTGAGCGAGAGCACTAGTGTACAATACAAATGTCTGTTTCCAAGACATATTAATGTGCTGTATATTACAGTAAAATGCAATAATACCGTGATCTGCTGGAGATAGTTTTCTTAGCTTTCTTTCCTTGCCTCAGCTGAAGGAGGCAGTGCTTTCTCCCCGTTCATTGCAGCTGGCTGTCCTGAAACAGTGTCTCTGGACGATAATGTACAGTCCAGTAGGCAGACTCTTCCTGCTTACCTTTGACCCAGCCACAGGCGCACAGCTTGTCCCTCACCAGCTCTCCCACAGCCCCACAGCTCCAGGGTCACTGAGAGTTCACCCTACCTAGCTGGTGACATGACTCAGTCTCGAACCCGCGCCATAGATCTCCTGCGCTTGAGTGCCTTACCCACTCAGAAGGTCCTGGTTCATCATATTGTACTGTAAACAGAACCCCTTTGCTCTGCCATTTGTCTTTTTGGCTTCCCTTCGTTGTCTGAGGCAAGTGACAGCCTTTCTGGATATTTTGAACATGAGCGTACATATTAGCTGGGGTATAATGGTCTCATTTCCATCCACAGCACAAGCATTTGCATCCTTTCCCCTTTTTATTTTAAGCAATTCATATTTCAAAACTTCAAAAGAATGAATGAGAATGGAATTATGCAGTACCTAGGCCTGTATGTTAATTCTGTGCTGCCTTGCTACCGGAAAACAAGCTTAGCAAATGTGGTTACAGGCCCTGCAGAATGTCTTTTTTACATATACATGAGACTTAAAAGGTGCTTTGGTCTTGTGTGATGCATGGCTTATATCAAGATATCTCCCATCAAATCAAGAGTCTGTCTCTGAAGATCTTGTCCCATATGAAAAAGGGAAGCAGACCATAATTTCAGGAGAAAATATGAAAGGCTTTTTCCAATGCATAGCTTGCCTTTAACCACCAAAGGCCTGAATCATGCACTGTCACCAGTTTGTTTTCTCTGTGAGCTCTTACCAGTTTGAAAAGGAGTTTAAATGATGTTTTTTTAATACATGCCGGCAAATGCCATGTGCCTTTGCCTGAGTTATGTCACTGGCTTCCTGTGTCCGGGATCGCCCAGGTGGTGGTGTCTTGCTGAGACTAGGGCTGGAATGAGTCTGCCAGGACTCTCCTGGTTCTCCTGCAAAGCACCCACGGGCTTGCAGTGATGTCAGCCAGAGACGCCCCTTGCCTCCAATCAATGCAAGCTCCTTTGGTAGGTGCTGTGGAACCTGCAGTGTGGCGAAAGATGGATGGTACTCTCCATGCATCAACACTGACTCTGACACAAAGACACGATTGCCCGATTAGATTGGGCGGGGATATAAAATAATGAAATAAAAAAATTGTTAAAAAGGCTAGATCCTGCAATACAGCTGCCCTTGCAGAGCTCTGACATTGTTAGCACAACGCTTTTCCTGCAGATGCATAACTGGGGTATGATCATATTTGTTTTCCTTTGCCTTCCAAAAGATCTAACAAGTACTGTACGTAAGTGCCTAAATCTAACTATAACCCTAGCTCTAATTCTAATCCAAATAGATGCTATGACCTCTTCTTCGGCAAATGTTGTGCACTAGTATGGAACAATTATCGGTACAGTCATAGTATCATATGCCATCTCTAAGTCTCGAAGATGCTATACAGGTTACATAACAACACAATCAGATAAAGCATGGCAATATCCTCTCTCCTTTTTTCTCAATGGAGATGGAGGTGTGCCGGTGAACTAAAACCCACTACTCACACCTCTATGCCATTTCTTTCTTTACCTTTTTTTAATATCACCTCTGATTAACGGCACACATAATCCTACTGGAAACCAGGTTTATCTGTGATAACGCGGCACAACCTTTGCCCCACAATTAGCAGTGACTCAGTCATCACATCAACACAGAGCAACAGACCTTAAATGAATTAAATGAGGCCATTTCATGAGTGTGAAGTAAGCTTATCGTATTCAACAATTGCACACACTGTTTGGGAAAACTTGGCAGCAGCTCTTGGAGAAATGGCTCTGGCATATGATACATATGCAAGAGAATTTATTTTGCATTTATTATTCAGTTGCACAATGCAAATAGCAATATGTAGTATATTTAAAAGCTGATTTAAAAAGCTAAATTTGCCTCATGCTAATGTGAAAAGGGTTTTTTATTGAGCATTATAAAAGCTATCGTTTTTAGCAGATGCTAAATTTGCTAAACCAAATTGTACAGAAAGGGCTTTATTTTTTTTAAATGCTAGCACTTTAGAATTATAACTGAAACCACATGATCCCTGTTGTTCGAGCCTCATCTGCTGTACTGCATCCCTTAGGCCTGTGGATGAGGCCTTGTCCATGAATACATCAAAGACTTAGTTGGACGATTCTCTTTCATGTCTGCCTGTCACCCAGCAAACAGTTTCTGCTACTGGATGACTTACAGGGAAGATCACAGAGCATAGAGTATCGATATTTTAAAATGCCATTCTTATTTTAAGAAGAGAGGCTTCCAAGGGCAAGCTATTTTTCCAGTATAGTGACATTACTGTTATACAACTGGCATTCAAAGTAGCTCCGTGTGTGATGTGTGGCTTCTTTTCGTAGCGTGACCTGATTAGAGCGGCCTGCCTCTGTAGTTGCTTCACTCTGACGTGCACACAGCTGATCGGAAAACTTTATGCTTTCGCAAGACCCTGAGGCACATGAAAATGAAAGACGGTGGGATCTTCTGATGCTGTGAGTTTCGCTCACAATGCTGAGTCTCTCTCTCTCTCTGTCCCCCAACAGATCCTGGTGCACGTGGGCTTCCTGACAGAGGAGTCTGGGGACGTGTTCAGCCCCAAGGTCCTTAAGGGGGGTCCCCTGGGGGAGATGGTGCAGTGGGCCGACATACTGACGGCGCTCTATGTCCTGGGACACAACCTGAAAATCTCCATCTCTGTCAAGGAGCTGCAGGGGTAAGTCGTTTCCTGGAGCCCCCTGCTTGCAATCTGTCATTACCAATTCCTTTTTTTTGTAATATACTGTACCCCTTCAGCTTTCTGGCACTGACTCCTGCACCTGCTCAGGAGAGAGCGAGACACATAGACATGTGGCAAAGGGCGCCTGACAGGAGAGGGAGGGGCAGTCAGCAGAGCAGTGCCTCTCTCACTGCTGTCGGTGCACGCAGAGAGTGCCCTGAGTGACTGACTAATGTCCGCCCTACTTCGGCTTCAGCTGTTTTTGTTAACACCCACAATAGCAGACAGAATACCGCTGTGGTTCTGGTGCGTACTGAGATCCCACTGCTTGAGGCAGAAGGTTAAACTGAACAATGTGGCACAAACCTACGACAGCATCGGGGCAAGAATGAAGGAAGACTGTGAGACAGCAGAGAAAGAGTTCCAAGGTGTCAAAACAGCGAGAGGTCAGAGAAGCTAGATGATTTCCACCTATGGAACTTACTCCCCTACCCACCTTAAAGAATCCGGATTTAGCAGGAATTGGGAAATCTGAATTCCAGTTTGGAAAATCAGGTGAACAAGAAATGTACATAAGCTGCAGAAAACTTGTAGCCCGCAGCTATGATGCTGCAATAGCTCCAAAATGTTGTAAGGCTTTCTGTTCTGGAGGCAGTTTGTTGGGTTTAATCTCTCCAAGTGTAGCTAGGGGGATGAAAGGCAGTTAAGCTGCCTCTACAAAAACTGCAGTAAATACAGAAGATTTTCTGTATTCCCATGTCCTGAGAATTATCTTTCTCTCTACCCGCCCACATAAGACATGAGGATGAGACATTTTCAGGAAACAGCTACAGCTCTAGAAGACCTGTGTGACTGAGGAAGACGGAGGTCAAACCCAGTGGACTTTTCTGTCGTCCGCTGTCTCAGCAGAGTGGAATTTATTAGTGGGGTCTCTCTGGTTTCGTTGATTGATATCATTAAGTGTTTGTGTCAGCCCTCGTACACTCCGATTTCATGAAAAGATATTATAAGGGCTGGTGTCAGCCCCGGATTTTGAGTTGGTAGGCCCTGTGTCTGCGAGTAGGTGATGTTGTCTGCTCGTGATGTGTGTCCTTCACAAAGCTCCACACCCTCCAAACGTGACTGGTGCCCCTGTGGCTTCGTGGTGCCCTTGGAGATGGTGTGTATTTGGAGAGCCAAATTCGTTCCAATTTCCAATTTTGTTTTGCAAATCTTGTCTTTCATCCATGAATATATTAAACTAATTGGATTCTTTCCGCAGTTGTTTCAAAAACAGTCCAGCCCTTAGTGTTTAGGGACCATCCCCGCTTCAAAATGAATTCAGATTGTACGTTTTCCTCTCCCATTATTTATTCATTTTGGGGGTGATGTTGTTTTGTTTCAGGTTTTTCAGAATTTGTTTTGTTTTTGGCAGATGATGCTGCATCCGTTATGTAATGCAGACACATTTTTTCAGGATATTTGATGCCAAAAAATTAGTCATTAACCACCGTTGGATGAATTTTATTTGATTTGTTTCAAGCAAATTATGGTTTGTAAAGGTATTTGACTGTAAATAATATAAAATATAATGATATTTGTTTAAATACATTTTCAATTAATTAAACTGGGTTTCTAGTCTGGTATATAATGGCTATTGTTCAATTAGAAAAAAACATCTTAGCTTTCTAACTGCAATTGCGGTGGCATAATAAGGGACCAAAGGCTACAAATTGTTAAGTTTTGTTTGACTTTGTCATATCACCAATATTAGGACAAGGACTGTCAAACAGAAGTTTCAAACTGAAAAGACTAAAATCCTGCTTAGAAACCTGGACAGCGCCCAAACTCCACCCAAAAACTGAAACATTAAAAACGAATCCGAGGCGTTAAGGCGTATCCGCTCCCTGTTTCAAAAGATTATAAATAGAAATTAACTTTTCACGAATCGGTTACATTACAGTAAGTATCATATCGTTTCTAGCAAAAACATTTTTTTAGCTACTAGGTAGAAAGTGCTTTGATTACTTTGCGAGTGTACATCATGCATTACTTTTTTTTACCATCTGCAGAATATATTGGGAATAAATCCCCAACAGCACCAAAACCTTTTTCAGTTTTTTACAATCTCTCGACTCCTGTCGACACTTAGACTTGACCCCCATTGAGGAGCTGAGGAGTTATGGGAAAATACCAGCGTCTGCTTAGAAGCGTTAACCATTTTCACGTATTAATCTGAATACAAAGTCAGTCAGCATTTAGCACATACTGTACATACAGTAAATGAGATTTTTTTAACCATACGAACCTGTAAAATTTACAGTGGTCTTACAGTGGAAACACTCCACGCACTGTATTAGGTGCAAGGAGTTCGACCTTTAAATTTTTTTACTAGAAATAGTCAAAATGTATTTGACGCTGATGTATTTCTCATACTACGCCTGAAAGTGAGAACTGTCGTTTCTGTTATTCTGCTTAGTTTTAATCGTGAATTTTGTTTTAGTACGCTGGCGGTCTCAGGAGCTTAGAGGGATCCTCAGTCACGTTTTTTTTTTAATTTAGTTGTACCAGAGTTGAGAAGATCGTCACGGCAGAGCACATTATTCTGCTATGCGTTGATTTTTTTTATCAGTAAATCACATTTTTAAGGGGCACTTTACCACACAGATAAACCTTTTTTTTTTGCATTCACAGTTCAAGGTTAAATATACCATATCCCTCTTAAGGAAAAGAAACTCATCACTTGAAGTACTAGACCCTGTAATTTTTTGGTGAAGATCTGTGAAGAGTTGCTGAGTTATTACTGCTCGCAAAAGGTTATAAGGATGAATTGTCGGCATTCACACGTAGCTGAGCATGACCGATCGCAGGGAAGGCGAAGATTATTATAGATCCTCATTTATCGTATTAGAACCGGAGGTGATATTCATCGGGCGGCGTGGCTGACTTTGGATAACGGCGAGGGCAACCTCCTACAGCAGAAACCGAGCCGCTCGATCTCTTACGTTTCCATCCGTGTTGAGGTAAAGCCGAGGAAAGGAAGGAATTCATGTGTTCCTCCCTCGCAAATCCCCGCCGTAAAAACTCATTAAAGCTGTTTGCGTTCCTGGGAGAGCTCTGCGGCGTGAAATAAGCAGTCATTAGATGTGGAGCCAGGCGCCGGCGAGTACACCCCCTCTGCTAAGGCAGACACGGCCACTCGCGGAAGGGTCACTTTGAATATCGATTCAGTTGGGGAGGAAATTGTGTGTGAAAGGAGAACGAGCTGGATGTGGGTCCGGAGCTGGTGTGCCGTCATACCCCACCGCATGCACTTACAACGACGAAAAGATTGCTTTCCGTGAATTAGAAATGTGTCTGCTTCTGCTTCTGACAAAGTACCCCTTTCCTTTATTACCTGTTGGGTGAAATCGGGAAGGATTTCCCGAACAGGCAATGGCGTCCTTCTGTCGTTCTTCAACCTTGTTAAAATTCACTGTGGGGACCCTAGCCCACGTCCAGCAGGATAAACCGAGTGAGATTATTAAAGCTATTTTGTTGCCCTTGTAAACAGTCATTTTCTTACATACTTCTTGTACATGTCCACTATTCGCTTGGAATCGTATTGATTTCCCTTTTACAGTAAATGCACCATAGGACAAACAAATGGTGTTTTATTGCTTATCTGCACAGGGTTGGGATTGCACAACGTATCCTTTGTAGATCGATGGGATGGGTTTTGGGGAGGGGGCGATTTATCTCGATGGCAAATTCTCATTTCGCCTTTTAGAAAGGGCAAATAGAGTAAAGCACATCTTCAGCAAGCGCGTCTGCTGGAGACTTTGTACAAAAAGGCTTCCCAGTTTAAGGTGAAGATTTTTCATTTTGAAAGTAAAGGTATTGATTTTCGAGTAGGCTAACCGTATAAAACATCATGCTTCTTTGTGGGGAACCAAAAATAGTCAATTTTGTGAGTAAAGACCTCAACGTTCTGGGACTTCTGGGACATTGATTATTTTCCTTACTTAACACAGGAAAGCCAAATATTTCTAATGCTTTTTGTGAATCTTAGAGATCAAAAATTGCACTACTGTGAATAATCTTTTTTTTAGCAACTGTGTAACTGTCTCATTTTTACACACAAACCTACACTTTGTAGGAGCTCTTTTGCCCTTCTGCCTACAGACAGCCCTGTATGTGGGCTCTTGGTGTCACTACCAAAAGGTCACTTCATTCTCAAATCAAACAACAGCCCTGTCAGAAATAAAACCCATTGTCTATTTAAACCCCCAAATTATTGTCTTCTTCTCACCTGTATTGGTGTATTCTCTAACCAGTGGGTTTGAGGAAGTTAGGTCACTCTTCTAACTTGTAACACCAACAATAGATGTACTGTATGATATGGTGTATGTAGATTCAGAAAAGATTCTCAAATCGAATTGGCAGTAGGCAAGGTGGTGCATCTTCAGAGTTCCAAATGAACCTTTGGTCACATATTTGTTTTAATTATTTAATATACTGTCTAATTATAATACTTCTAATCAGGCTCCAATGTGTTTTATACTTCAGTGAAGTGGGTAATCTGTTTACTGTTTCACTAAATAAGAAAAAAAATCAGGTTATTTGTTGAACTGACTATTTTGATAGGACCAGATCCTCCAGGATTTAAGTACGAGACTTCTGATTGAAAGTTTAATTTCTGTCCATCCTTTCTGACACTCAGCAGCATGCTTTCCATCGCTGGCAAGAAAGCTCGAGTCCGCTAAGAAACCTCTTTTCATTTGTCATTGCTCCCCATTTGTGGCTGTTATGGGGCTCAGAGCTTCGGCAGAATGCTTCAGTATCGTAATGTAAGGAGAAGCCTTCTGGTCCAAACAAGCAAGTTATAAATAAGAACTTCATTCTTTGCACTTGAAACAAATAACCGGGTTGTACTTATTAGGCAAATTGAAGGGGTCTGGCATGCTCCTTCCCTGCACAGTATGTGACAGTGGAGTTGCTGGGACACTTGTGATGCACACATTACAGTTGCACACTTG